TAAATATTATATATTTTTTTAAAATACTTAATAAATTTAAAAATTAATATTATATGATATTTAATAATTTTAAAAATATTTTTAATAGTCAATAATTAAAAAATTATTAATATTTTTTTGTCAATTTTAAAAGAAAGGTCAGGAAATACAAGTAAAAAAATAAATAAATAAAAAAGAGAAACAGATGAAGAGAAAAGAGAAATAGGAGGGAGAGAATGAAAGAGATAAAAGAAATAAAAGAGATAAAAATTAGATAGAATAAAAAAAAATAGGAAAAACCGACCAATTTTACCCTTCCTGTGCTACATTCCAAAGTCTAAAGTATTTAGGTGTCAGTAATTTTATAAACAAGTCACGCTATTAATGGTTAATATTATCGAACTTAGTATATCGCGCTATCATGCAAGTTTATTTAGATGGATTTTTTCACAAGTGTTTTAAGAAATTTTATTTTTAATATGTTAAAATTGGTTTATATATAAATTAAAATAATTTTTGAGATATTACAAGGAATTTTTTTACAAACTTAAAAGCATAAATTAATTTTGATTTATATTTTAATTTTTTCTGGAAACTATTTTAGGAGGGTATATTCATAAAAATTCTAAAATGTTACTTTTACTCATATTAATAAGAATATTTCTGAAATCAAACTTCTTAGCACAATAATTGTAAAATCTATTACGATATACGAAAATTTGACCTGTTATTCTTAGGATGGATTTCTATCAAAGTTAAAATAATTTTTAACTAATAGAAGTTATACTTAATGAGTGTAAAGTAGTTTTGAATTGTCGATTTTTGAATACTATCTAAACTATGTTAATTAACAAAAAATATAAATAAAAAAGTATATTTGAAAAGAATGTTATTGAATTTGTATTTTTAATTTATTTGATAACAAATATTTGAATAGTTTATAATTTTTAATGGAATTTAAAAAAAGACTTGTTTGAATGTCTTTTTTAAATTTATTATAATTTCTTGTGTTTTATATTATTTGATGTCCAACCGCGCCTCCGACGTCCTCCATCGTTCTCTGCTGCGCCTCCTTCATTTTAAAAAAGTAAGCAATCGTTGCTTGGTGAAGTAATCCTCTCTCCTCTACAAGAAACTCTTGCTACCAGCTCAGCCTTATCCAATAGTAAGAAACTCATGTTAGAGTTGCTTGATGAGCTAAGAAATTCCTGTTCGAGTTGCTCTAAGTTAACGAGCAAATTGAGCTGGAATGAATCGGATGACAAAGGAGTGACGACATGGTATGAAGGACTCTATGACAAAGTCACAGGCATCCCTCATTTTTCCCACCACCAAAAATCAATTTAAAACTAATTAATTTATCGTTACCAACCTTGGGCCCATGGGATCATGGAACGCTTTTCATCTTTATTCAATTATTTATCGTTGCATTCATATTTACTATTCACACCGTCTCTTAATCTTTTTAATGCCAAAAAATCACCTCTTTTTCTTATATGTCTTATTTTTCGTTGGGAATTTAAATAATATAAAAGTTAACCAACCAGCTTTTACATGTTTGAATACATTTTTCTAAAAAAATATTACTAATACAATAGAAAAATAAGAAAAAATTTATATATTTTTTTAAATTAAAATTATTTTATGCATTAAATAATTTTTAACATTTTTATCTTATTAACTTTTTTTAAATCTTATTTTCAACCTGTGTATAAACTAGTTTTAGCTTATAAAAAATGATGTTTCAGTTTTTCTTCAATTTTTTTCTCTATAAGTATTTTTTCAAAAAAATTATCCAAATAAATTCTAAATTTTTTATACGATATTATAAAATTAATTTATTAATATTTGTTTTGAATAGGATTTGTTGAATTTCAATATAAATAAGTATGATTTAAATTCTTTGAACCCAAGTTTAATTTTATAGTTATAAAGAAATTTCTCATCTCATCATATAATATGAATTGGACTTAACTCATTCTTATAAAATTAATTTATAAATAAAAGTTTTCCTCTATTTATATATACTATTTTAATTTTATCTTTAATTTATGCGTGACATAAGTTTTTTTTAATGCAAACTCCTTCGTCACGTAACGAAATAATCTAAGCATCTTAGTTTATCTCCGTATATGGATACGCATCATCTTAAGAACCATATTAGTTACGTTCCTCATATAACAAAGAACTTGTACACTTCATTGATTGTCATGTCTACAATTTGGGCACAAAGGAGTATAGTTGTTTTTTAAGTCAAAGCATCACTAGTAGAAAATATACCATTTATGACAGGTTTTTTTTTTATATATAGTTTTATATTTTTTTTTTATGTTACTTACGGTGCAATTTACATAATAAAAAAGATAGTGACGGTTTTATAAATACTGTCACATTTTTTTTATATCAATTATGTTTTAATTGACATGAAAAAAATAATTTATACATACATATTTATATTTTCTATATTAGTTGTTATTAAAAAATTATATATTCTATACAGTTGGCTAGCTAGCATTCTATCATGTCTTTCATGCAACCTTAGAGAATTAGTATTGATAGTGTACGGTGTACCGCTTGCATGTGTTGTGTTCCTTCGTTCACAAATATATATATATATATATATATATATATATATATGAAGTGATATGCAAAGATTAAATAATTTTTATGAAAAGCGGAACTCCACTTAGTTAAGATATATGCTTAATAATACTAATAGAATTCGGTATAGATAATAAATAATTTAGTTATTTAAATATGTTAATTAAAATTTAACTTTATGTAAAAAAAAGCTGTTAAAAGATAAAATTTATCTTAATAAAAATTTATTAACTTTAGTTATTTCTCCTTACAATATACTATTTTTTGGTTTTCATCTTCATCTTTTTTTTTTCAAAATGATTTTTTTAAAAAAAAAATATTTAAAAAGTTAGTCTTTATAAAATACTTATTTTTCATTTTTGTAACAAGCGAATAATTCAGCTATTATTTAAAAAAATGTTAACTCAAAATAAATAATATATTATAAGAACTGGAAAAAAATAGATATGTTATAAAATAAAATACTTAAGAATAAAATAACAAAATTACAAAAAATAATCTTAAAAATAGTTTTATAAGAAAAATATATTAGAAAGAGAAAAACACATTTAAATTTAAACTAAAAATAAACATATTTTCAGAGATGACGGGTGATATCATGATTAGAAAAAAATTGTTTATGCACGTTATAAAAGTGGAAAGTTAGAAATGACGACGATTCAAAAGTCAAAACAAGTTCAACCATCATTTTCACCAACGTGCTAACTACCTTCTCTCTCTTTTTATTAGCTTCTCTCAAATCAAAGACTGTCTCAGTTTCGATCTGGCATCACAGCAATAATCACAACTGAGGTTGGAGTAGTTTCAAATTTATGTACAATATCTCTCGCAAGGACAAATGTTTGACATTTTTCAACAGAAATAGTAAGGGTTTTCAAACCATAGCACATTACTTAACCTTGTGCTTGTTAGTAATAATAACATATTTATAATGTTTATATTGCTAATTAAATTTGTTAAAGGGGATTAAGTTGTTTCATAAGTATTTTTTATATAAATGGTTCATTCAATAATTGTTTGCATATATTAAATTTTAGTAAACTAATTATTAAACATTCTGATATTTTTTTAGTAAATAAAATTTTAAATAAATAGGATATATAGGTAATTCTATTGGAATTATATTAATGCATATATATAGTTTATCAAAATGTGCTATGATCAGTAGATAATTATGTCACTTTATTTTTCTGGTAATAGAAGAAAAGTAACCATGTCAATTTAAGCAATATGAAAAAATATTTACCGGTAAAAGTTAATTTTTTAAAAATAAATATCAGTTGCTTAGATAAATTAGTTTTTATTACACAGACATTCATACTTAAAACTTGTTTAATTATAATTAATCTGACATTACTTTTCCATATGAATCCAATTTCTAATTAATGTCCATATGGTAAGATATCTGGGTAGGGCACGTGAGAGGAATGTGAGTGGAAGAAGGATATCAAAAGTGGTATGAAGAGAAGAGAAGCTGGGAAAGCTGAAATGACAGAGTTTGGAGGGTAAAAGCCCGAAAGGTGTGTACTGTGTAGAATTAGAATTAGAATGTGTGAAGAAAATCCAAAACCCCAGAGGGAAAAAAAGGTGTGGGAGCCACCTTGACTGCTTCAAAGTTCAAACAAAACCAGCCCCTCCATCATTTCACCTTATTATTTAGTATTTTTCTACTAGTACATGTACATTATTAGTCCTAAGATTATTGTTTTATTTTTGGTGTTTGTTATTTTCGCCGACACTACACACACAAACTGAGACACTCAACTCAACACTCTTGTGCTGCTTGCTTTTGCTTATTCTCTCTCTTCATTACACCAAGCTTCGAATCTCTACCTGTCCCTTTCTTTAATGGCCTTGCCTTGTACAACCAGTCGCGATCTGAGACTCAACTACTACGCCATTCTCATCTTCTTCTTTCGTCTCCATGATACTCTGCATGTGCCTCTCCGCACCTGAACCACGCTTCTGACACCAATGGCGCCTGCCCGTTTCCCTCTTTCACTCTTTCTCACTTTGATCTTCTTCGTTGCTCTTCCTCAAGCCATCGCCAACACTGACCCATCTGATGGTAACATTATTATTATTCCCTTTTATTTCCCTCTCTCTCTTTTTTTTTTTTGGAGCGATCATTCTGCGGATGATTGATGTGGTCGGTGCTGAATGTCATAATGTGATGGGAACTAGGGAGTGTTTGGTTTTGGGAAAAAGTTTGGATTTTGCGTCGAGGGCATTGGGTTTTGGGGATTTGGTTTTGTTTTGTAGACTCTGCGTGAACAGGGAGTGTGATAATGCAACTATGCAAGTAATGAGGTTATGGGGAGGGTGTTTTTTATGCCAAACATGGTCTTTCTTTTTATGGACCAATGTTTTTATTATTATTATTTTTTTGTTTGTTGCAGTTCAAGCTCTTGAGGTGATGTACAATGCGTTGAATAGTCCAACTCAGCTAACGGGTTGGAGAATCGGTGGTGGTGATCCGTGTAGAGAGTCGTGGAAAGGGGTAACGTGTGAGGGTTCAGCCGTTGTTTCCATGTATGATATTGGACTCTTTTTTTTCTTTCAAAGTGTGTTTGTGTTGTGGTTGAGAAAACTAATTGATCCCCCTGTTGTGATGCTGGTTAGTGATCTCTCAGGTTTAGGACTCGATGGGACTTTGGGATACCTGCTTTCAGACCTTATGTCACTCAGAAACCTGTGAGATCATTATAATCTTATTATGTGTTATAATCTTTACTATTCCAATATATACTGGACTATTGGTTATTAACTTTTTAAATTTTGTGTTTTTCTAGTGACTTAAGTGACAACAAGATCCATGATACAATTCCCTATCAGTTGCCGCCAAATCTTACTAGCCTGTAATCTTCACTTACAATTATCTTTGCTGCTTTATTTGAAATGTTAATTTATTTACTTATTTATATATTTTGTTGCTGAATCGTATCATTGCTTTTCAATTGTGACAATCAGGAATCTTGCAAGAAATAATTTATCTGGAAATCTTCCTTATTCCATTTCTGCCATGGTTTCACTCAATTATTTGTACGTTTCTTTTGAATGTATACAATTTTTTTCATAATATTCAATTTGATGATATATTGAGAGCCACTTACTGTGTTTCCTTGTGGTTTTTAGGAATTTAAGCAATAATGTGCTCTCCATGACTGTTGGCGATGTTTTTGCTGGTCTTTCAGATCTTGCTACCCTGTAAGATATCTTACATAGTTTCTTCTTTCCATTTTCCCCTCATTTATTTCATTTTCTTAGTATTCTGACTTAGACAAGAATGTTTATCGCACTGATTTGTGGTCATTGTTAATCAATTTCAATGCTTTATAATTTTAAGAAGATGTGGATAAATGTTTTTCCTTGGCTGAACCGGAGGCTCTTACATTTTAGGATTGAGCTATATTTTTTTTAGTTCAATTTTTTGAGTTTTGGATTGGACTCGGAGTATATTCATAGATTGACTTAATACTGGAACTACACGGTGATTCTTTTAGTAATCATATCAGGATCCAAATCCATTTACCATATTAACATAGAGCTTATGCTCCAATGGAAATCCCTTCTCGAGTGAGAGGAATAGTTTTATACTGAACCTTATATAGTCATTGGCTGTTTGGACTTTGGATAATTATTACTGACTAACTAATATTAGTTTTTATGATGTATTGTATTTAATGATTGTTTGCACTCATTTTCAATGATGCAGGGATCTATCATTCAATAACTTATCAGGAGATCTTCCTCCTTCATTTGGTTCATTGTCCAATCTTTCTTCACTGTATGTTGGATGATACTTTAATTGACGAATTGGTAATGATTTTCAGTAAATGTTAATTTAATGTTTATCGATTTCTTTTTGGTAGTTTCTTGCAGACGAACCAGTTGACTGGCTCTCTTAGTGTTCTTGTTGGCTTGCCTTTGGATACTTTGTAAGTTCTCCATTTGGACCTTGAATTATCTGCATGTCAGTTTCTAATGGGCTCTAAAATTTTCCAGAAATGTGGCAAACAACAATTTCAGTGGATGGATACCTCACGAGCTTAGTTCCATCCATAATTTCGTGTAAGTATCTATGAATTGTTGTTTGAAATGCCTATCTGTTTTTTAATGCATAACTTTAACAATGTGGTTAATGTGACTCTTTAAACATTAACTAGATATGATGGAAATTCTTTTGAGAACACTCCTGCTCGTCATCCGCCAGCATTTATTTCACCTTCTCCCAGTGGATCTCATAATAGTCATCATCATTCGGGATCTGGTTCACATAACAAAACACAAGCTTTTGATAATGAAAATTCTGATGGCCATAAGGGTTTGACAGCAGGAGCTGTCGTAGGCATTGTTTTAGGTTCAGTACTGGTGGCTGCTATTTTGCTGCTTGCACTTGTTTATTGTATCCGAAAGCAAAAGGGGAAGGAAAAGGGTGCAAGAAACTTTAGTGGGAGCCTTCCTCGTGGAGTTATTAACGGTGAATTCCCCTTTTCTTTTTGTTTCTGATTCTGTAATTTGGTTTCTTTGCCAAATGTAGTTTTATAGCATGTTTGGTTACATCAGCTAATTGTAGATCCCCGTCAAGACCAATGCATCACTTTGTAGCTTCTGCATAAAATTAACATTTGACATGAATGTACTAAGGAACAAATGTATCAATATGCAACCAAACTTCCACTTAATAACATCTGTTTTCTATTAAAAATGTTTAGCGCCTTTTTTTTTATTCTTTTACAAAATTCATTTGCCTTTGAAGCTATTTCTGTAAATGCTCATTCGTGTCAAAAAAATTTCTATTTATTTGTTGTTTCAATCTGAAGGATGGTATATATGCATTCTGACCAGTTTAGCTTTTCTTTTGGATTTGTGCTTGCAGTAACTCCACAGATGCAAGAGCAGAGGGTGAAAAGTTCTGCTGTTGTTACAGATCTCAAGCCTCGTCCAGCAGAAAATGTAACAGTTGAGAGGGTACCTGTTAAAAGTGGATCTGTAAAGCAGATGAAGTCCCCTATAACTTCTACATCATACACAGTTGCTTCTCTCCAAAGTGCAACAAATAGCTTTAGTCAAGATTTTATAATTGGCGAAGGTTCTCTTGGCCGAGTTTACAAGGCTGATTTTCCAAATGGGAAGGTAACCTTTTAGTGTTGAATTTGTTAGCTACCCTCCTACTGCAGTTTTTGAATTTATTCTCATCATGTATGGATGAAAAATGCCTATTAAATTATCAGTTGGATCTTCAATTGATTGAGCCAGTGCAAGATGAATGTGATGATGATTTATAGATATTTTTATTCATCAGTAATTTTGGTTTCGCTGTGTGTTAAATAATGCTTTTTTTCCTCTTCTGTTGTTTTTAACCTTTCATTTGGTTTGGATTTCATAATTTGTACAATGATCCATCTACTCTGCTTATGTCTTCATTTTCTTTTTCTGTTATTGTAATTTTTTATTTTCTTAAAGTTTGAACTTTAGAAAATTACTTTATCCGTATAAAATAAATTTATGTACATCATAACTTTCTAATGGTTCTGATTTTTGCTTTTGTTTAGTTAATGGCTGTTAAGAAGATCGACAACTCAGCACTTTCATTACAGGAGGAAGACAATTTCCTTGAAGCTGTTTCAAATATGTCACGCTTGCGGCACCCAAACATTGTGACATTGGCTGGATATTGTGCAGAGCATGGCCAACGACTTCTAGTTTATGAGTATATAGCAAATGGAAATCTGCATGACGTGCTCCATTTTGCTGAAGATAGCAGCAAGGCTTTGTCTTGGAATGCCCGTGTTCGCATAGCACTTGGCACAGCCCGGGCTTTAGAGTATGTTTCATTTACATATCTGACATTAAATCTCTCCTTGACATGGCCTTGACAGGCTACCCTAGCCCCCTGGTTTTTCTCACCTGTTTGGGTAAGCTTTTATGGCAGTACTTCTATAAGAGAAAAATAGGAAGGAAAAATGAAATAAATGAGTTAAAATTAGCTTATGCATAAATTAATTTGTTAAAACTCTCCTATTAACTTTTTCAAAATCTTATTTTTAACTAATACATAAGCTAATTTTAACATATGAAAAAAACTTACTTGAATTTTCCTTCCTATTTTTTATCTTTTATAAGTGTTTCTGGAAAAGTTTATCCAACCAGATCCATAGTCTTGTAGGGCGAGTTAGTATATCACATTCAGAGGCTAATTTCTTGAGTAATGCTTTGTGTATCAGGTACTTGCATGAAGTGTGTTTGCCTTCTGTTGTACATAGAAATTTCAAATCAGCAAATATATTACTTGATGAGGAGCTCAATCCTCACCTATCTGACTGTGGTTTAGCTGCTTTGACACCAAACACTGAGCGGCAGGTTGGTGGAAGATGCTTTTGTTTCCTTCATGCACAGCTGAACATGGTTTTTTGTATCTTACCTTTGCTCGCTACATTCATTACAATCATCGAGTGTTAACAGGTGTCAACTCAGATGGTGGGTTCATTTGGTTATAGTGCTCCTGAGTTTGCCTTATCAGGAGTATACACTGTAAAAAGTGATGTTTACAGCTTTGGGGTGGTTATGCTGGAACTATTGACAGGTCGGAAGCCACTTGACAGGTGAGCCTATCATACATTACATTACGCAAATCAATTATGTTCATGCTTCAATGTTTACCTTTGATTATTATTATTATTATTATTATCTGTATGGTTTGTTACATTCATTTGTAATTTTTGTGAGTTCAGTTCACGGGTTAGATCAGAGCAGTCACTTGTGAGGTGGGCTACACCCCAACTCCACGATATAGATGCCTTGGCCAGAATGGTTGATCCTACTTTGAATGGCATGTATCCTGCAAAGTCACTGTCACGCTTTGCTGATATCATTGCCCTCTGTGTTCAGGTAAAACTTTCGTAATCATAAAATATACAACAGATGCCATGCAACTTGTCTTGGTACATATTCCATTTACTGCACTCTAATCTTTATCATAGGGCAAATGCTAACTAGTACCAAATGACATTAGTTAAGGGAAACGAAGTAGAAATTTTATTATTTAATGAAATGGAGGAGTGCCTCTAGTATTTGTATGAAACTGAGTGTTGAGTGGTGAAAAGCCAACGACAGAATAAAATTCTTATAGGAAGATATGAGAATGTTGCATTGGATGAGTAGGCATATTAGACAATGTTAGGAATGAATGCATTAAAGAGAAAGTGATTAAATGCATTTACGGTCTATTTAGGTAAACTTCTCAAGAAACACTTTTAAAAAAGTAAAATAAAAATAAAAAATAAAATAAACTTTTGTATATGTTTATTTATAAGCTAATTTGTTGAAGTTGTTTCTTATTAGTTTCTCCAAATCTTAGTTGTTAATTGATGCATAAGTTAGTTTTAACTGAGGGAGAAACTTATTTTGATTTTCTCTTCTAAAAGTTTTTTTTTTATTTTAAAAAGTTTATCTAAACAAGTCCTTAGTAGGAGATATTTAGTGCCACACTTGGAATATTTTTGTACCGGAAGATGTTACTGATTTTGATTTTATGCACAGCCGGAACCTGAATTTCGACCTCCAATGTCTGAGGTGGTGCAAGCACTGGTTCGGTTAGTGCAAAGAGCAAGTGTGGTTAAACGACGACCCAGTGACGAATCTGGTTTTGGTCACAAGACCCCAGACCATGAGGCCATAGACACTTCATTTTAAATGCTACTCTTTTGCAATTTTGTGCAGTTGTCCGGCTAAAAAATTACTACATAACACAGGAATGAACGAACGAGTAGAAGTTTCTCAGAATGTATCAACCAATTTCAAGATACTAATTACGTCTGTTGCAAATTTTCACACCATTTTAATACTCTGGAAAATAAGCTGTATATTTAACTTGCCATGCTGTAATATAATGAAATTTTATTTAATTTAACGCCATTCTCGCCTTCATGCTAAATAGTTTTTTTTCTTCCCTTTCTTAAATGTTTTTAATTCCTTAAGTATCTAGTATAGTTATTTTTTGGTGTTTTGAATTTGTAATTATTTTCTTAGTCTAGTAATTTGAAAAGAAAAATTTATTTCAATTATTTTACATAAATAACTTGGGAATCGTCACACAAAACAAATGGCCACTCAATGATAAATTAGATACAAATTTGGTAATTTTGTCGATACGGGACTTTTTTAATTTTAAAAAAAGTAGTTTTTTCTTTATAAAAATTAATAAAAATATTTTGTGAGCCTAAACTTTAACCTATTGTAATATTTTTTTGTTAAAGCAAAAAGTTTAGGTTAGAAAAATGCACGAACTCTCATTGGATAGTCTTATTTTTAAGTTTTTGTTTATCATGTTGATTGTTATATCGGTGGAAGGATTCAAATATATACTTTCTTTATCAAATCAATTCTATATCTTTTCTTAAAATATCATGGTTGATATATAATTGACTTAACTTATCTTTAATGATCTAAAATAAATAATTTTTTTTTAATGAGTGATTAATAGAGTAAAAGTATTGATTTTAAATTTAAATGAGTAAAAAATATTTATTTATGAAAAGAAATTGTAAGAAGCAACTTTATGAGTTATATAGGGTTTGTTGGCAAGCACCATGAAATTCCAACAACCGACATAATGGACATAAAGGCCTCGGAAAAGGGAGTGGATGGTATTTATGACGGTGCCTGCATTTGGACATTGGACTCCCTTATTCTATTCCCCTTCTCTTTGAAACATGCGTTTGGCCTTTTCCCTTCATTTTTATCACTCTACTTGTTTTCTTCTGTATGGCCTTCGAATTACTTTGAATTTGCATAAAAGTCCTTTAAAATAATGATGAATAAGATAATAAATTATGATATGATTAGGAAATGCTAGAAAAGAAGATGAACATGATTACATGATGGGCTTCTTTTGTTTAATCGTAACTTTGATTTTGAAACTTATTGAAATATGTTAAGAGCTTGTAAAAAGGTTACAAGTCTAAATAACTTTTACATATCTTCTATCAAATGCCTTTAAGTAAATGTAATTCATTTTTATTTACTAAATGTTAAATATTTATTATAAAATTTTCAATTAATAAATAGTATATAAAAACTTGCTGATTTTTGTTCATTATTCTGCACTTATTTTGAACGACAAAGTTCTTGAAAGAAGAGCAGAAAATACCCTTACGTACAATAAGGATTAGATATGCTGAGATAGAATTATGCTCGCATCGTAACCACACGTTTTCCTCCTAAAAGTTGCCATATACATGGTGGATCAAATCATTTGGTGCAATTTCATGAATTCATTTTGCTATTGTACATAATTTTCTAATTATATACTTTTGTAATTTTCGAAATAAAATGTTACTTCCTCTCCCCCTAATTATAAGACTTTTTAAATTAAATTATATTATTTAAAAAAAATAGTTAATTTAGTTAAAATAATTTTTTAATAATTTAAACTAATTTTTTAAAATTAATATCTTCTTCTACTTAATCATTTTTACCTAATTAATTAATATTTGAAGGAGAAAGATATTTGTGCCTATTTTCTCTAATCTTTATAAGAGAGAGAAAGTTTTATCTAATTAATTTCAAATATTTATTATTTTTTGTCTAAAATAATTATTTATTAAATAAGAGTATTTTAAAAAAAATATAATTAATGCAACTGACAATTAAAAGAGTTTTATAAAAAGGGATAAAAATGTGAAGAAAAAAAATCTTATATATAAGAACATAGGTAGAATGTTTTTATTTATGCATAAATAGTAACAATTTTGTAAATATTTTTTTTTGTAGAGAAGAATGTAACTAACACTATTTTTTGTTTATGATTTTTTTTTTGAAATGGTAAAGTGGGTTGACCTCATGGGCCAACATATTAAAACGAGTTAGATTTAATATTTTAACCTTCAACATATATAATCTAACTCGTATAATCTGTCAATCTAATGCGTCAAAAGATGAGTTAAATTAGATTGATATTTAAGGTTTATATTTTTTTGGTTTGAACATATTTTTAGTCCATACAAGCTAAGTATGTTTTAATTTTAGTCCCTATAAAATTTTTCTTTATTTTCATCTCTAAAAAAATTGAAAATATTATTTTAATCCTACTATTATATGGTCTTTTTTAATTACTTATGTATTTATTAAAAGGTTATGTGACATTGTGACCATCCCATGTGATATTCTTAGTTGTTTGTGATATTTTATTTGCATATAATATTTTTAATTTTTTTATAAATCCCTAAAATAAGTATATTATATATATAACTTAAAACGATCATTAGAGCTCAAAAATAATAATTTGTAAATTTTAGAGGACGAAAAATATATTTTATAGGGATCAAAATTAAAATTTATTCATTTTAGAAAGATAAAAATAATCTTTGCAAATTTTAGAAGAATGAAAAATAAAAATAAAAATTCAGGAATCAAAATTAAAATTTGATCATATAAAAATTAAAAACATATTTAATTTATATTTTCTTATTAGATGCTTTAGGAAATTCTTTAGTTAAATACTATTTATTGAGTAAGTGGTCTATTTTTCAACTCATGAAAGCATCTCCAATGCTATATCTTACTTATGTTGCTTAGATATAAGATGTGATTCTTTACAAAAACTTCTATAAAAACATATTACGTAACGTTACTTATACGAGCAACGTTGGTTATATAAGCAATAGTTGCTTAATAATTATATCAACAAAAAATAACTTTGTAAAGAATCATTAAAAATGTAAGATTTACTAATGTTAAGAACTTAATAAGAACTGAACGGTTGGAGAAAAAAATTGACTAACTGCTTAGTAAAAGTGGCATGGAACCTACCAAAATTCACTTAAATAACTCAACATTAAAGGTGCTTTGAGTCATCTATTTGTCATAATTTTTTTCTTAATTTATATCTTAAAAAAATTGACAAGTCAACTTATCCCTAACCGCAATTCACTACAAAATGAAGTAAGGTTTTCGATCTAATATGAGAATAGGTTAAATCAACTCAACTTATTTTTTTTAAGGAAATTAAAGATGTGCTAGATAAGATTGAATTGGGGTGAGATGACTGTTGATGCATGTGGAATCTCTACATTTCTCCTTTTGTTTAATAATCAAGATTTATTATTTTTAATAAATCCCCTACCATCCTTTCACTATCCACCTTCCAAACTAGATATATAAAACCATTAAAGATTTTATCATTTATCAAGTCACCTTTCCTCTCTTTCGCATCCAACTCTTTCACATTCAAATGTACATATAAACTCATATATTAAATATAAATTTCTATCTTACACAATATTTTTAGAAACATTCTTTAACGAAAAGATTTGTAAGAACTTTTTTAGTTTTTTTATTCAATTCAATTTTTATTTATCATACTTATTTATAAATTAAATATCAATATTTTAAAATAAATTATTTATCATAAATTTAAAATATAATTTATTTAAAAATACTTACATATACTAATTTTAAATACAACATATATATATATATATTCAAACATAATATTTATTTTTATATATAACTTATTATAAATTTTAATTATATTATCTATAATAAATATATATGTAAACTAAAATACTAGTTAAATAAAACCTGTTAGTCCCTCCTCCCCCAGAGAAAAAACAAATCCCCCTTAACTACCATAATTAAAAGTCTAAAGAGATACGCACAGTTAAATTAATATACTTGTCAAGTTTCTAGAAAAAGAAAAATAGCTTCGCAAAGGAAGAAATTCAAGATATTATTAACACGAAGCATATCTTTTCTCACCAATAATACATTTTATGCTTGTCATATTGCTGTATCTGTGTATCAGGATCAACATAGTGCAACGGACTGGGAAATACGATAGAAAAGGCCGAACTAAGGTCTTAGAAATTGCACTACATACATGTTGGAGTGATGAACAGAAGCAGAGCGCAGATCAGGGCTTCAAAAACTGTAGTCTTGCTTCTGCAGACTGCATTATGACTAAGAAGCACCAATAAGTGAGGAAGCAGCCAAGGTAAAGCACTAAATTAAAACACAGCCACACCCTTGGTGCTGCCAAATCCAATTCAACCATTGAAAGCCAAAAACAAATTATATTTATGAGCGCAGGACATGAAAAATGAGGATTCAACTGCCGGAAAACATGATAAACCTAATCACATGAACATCAAAACTCAATCATCAAATTCCTAAGTTCCAACCTCTACAAGGGCAAAATGGCCTGACTTGTTTAACTTACGCAATTTTAACTGAAACCTCGTACCAAAGATATTCTCATTGGATGTGTTTATGTTGTTACAGAAATGTTTCTTTATCCAAGTTAAAGAAGTGAAGCACAAAATAGTTAGAGCTTCAACGATTTATTGGAGTGCGCATTCGCTCAACAATTCTGGTCACAGCAGCTCGGGACATCACCAATGTGTCATGCAGCAAAATGCTGTAGACATTCAATCCCTACAAAAAAAACATGTTAAACATTTATTATATATAAACGCCTGTTTTAGGAAATTTCTACATTAAGAACACCTTTTTAGGAACTTGTAACAACCAACAACTAGCGACATAAGGCTCCCAAGTTAAAGATTGATAAGCAAGATGAATGCAATCTTTTTGTTAATGTATAATTGATGATGAAGCAGGTGTGTTGGTAATAGGAAGACAGATAAGAAATGAACCTGGAACCATATAAACTCTAAGAAAGAAATGAGAACAGATTAAGACAAGAGATTGGCAAATCATAGAACCACTTTGGTCTTTATGCCAAAGAGATCAACCATGGAGGCTATATACCTATACTGCATGATTTTATGAAGAGGCGTACAAAAGGAAACAAAAAGACCAGCACATTGTCTTCGTTGAAAAATGAGTCCGTATTACACGAGGAATGATGTAAGAAAATGACTAGTGTGCAAACTTGATGGAGATGTAAGAAAATGATCTCCTATTATCAATTCACCATGTTTGCCCCAAGGATCAAATTTGAGTTTGTACTTTTTTAAATTAATAGTGGTTTACTTAAAGGGAATATCCTAAAGCCAGTGCCTTAAATGTATATTTTTGTGGAAGATATAGTCCTTCATAAGTCAAGAGTAAGTAAATTAAACAAATTTTGCAAAGAAGCTTTGGAATTAGAGGCTTTTCAATCAAATGGGAATGGGAAACAATATAAGATATGCAAGTTCAACAAGGCATAAATTACCAATGTTTTTGGAGGTGAAATTTTGTGATAATTACATCACACCACAAGCGGCGCAATCTACTCAAACATGTTTAGGACCATTTGATCTTAAAGACTGTCTAACTAAGAAAGCAACTGGGTTAAACCATCAAAAATGTTGTTTTAAATAGTTTATCTAAAAATTTGGTTTTTGATGGAGCCTAATGGTGCCTCTTTAATTTAGGTTTGGCCAAATTCAACCCCAAAAGCTAACTCATGAAGTGAGGATTGTCCAAGCCCTTACAAATTTTACTTTAGTCATATCTACAGTCAATGTGTGATTTTAAAACTCTCTCACACCCAGGATTGGCCATCTATAGCGTGAAGACAGTGTGTGTGTATATATTGCACTTGGAAAGCTACAGGGCCAGGTATGTTCTTTTAACAGTGAGGCAATATCAGATCTATGATAGGCTATGATATTATCTTGAATTTAGGCTGGGTCCAACTTAAATCCAAAGACTAGCTTATAAGGTAAGAATTGTCCAAAAATACCCTTATAAGCTCTACTTTATCTGTATAAATAGTCAATGTGGGATCTCAACCGTGTCGATTAATTATCAATCCATGTATGTGATCCCACCAAGTACAAAGGCTTAGTTGTCACTCATCACTGTTGGGAATGTTGACTCAAATAAAATATAATTTTCAAATGAAATTTACGATGTACAGTGATAATTATAACTTCCATCTAAACAATAATAGAAGCCAACTGGTTAAAACTGATACTTACAATAGAGGGAAGTACGTTGACATAGTGTAGATTTTGTGTAGATAATTTTAACTTTTCATCTATAGGCCCGCCATCTACAAGCAGAAGTTTCTTAGAGTTCTCCATTTGATTATAATAATTCACAATGTTCCTGGTTTTATGTGTGGGAACCTCCAGATCCTCAAACACAAGAAGCTGTATAAATAATTCCCCAGATATTAGTTTACATTAACACAAAGAAACTCTTATGTAACACATCATATAATGCAAGACTAAACCAGAAAATAAGGATTGCAAACAGTATAAACAAGAAAATTATTGGATGAAAGGAAACAAAACCTATGGACTAAACAGCTAAAAGAAACACAATCTAGCATACCTTACAAGAATCAAGACAGGCATTTTATAATGAAAACTACAGCATATGATTATCAGGATAAGGATACATACATGCCCCAAAGAACCATTTAACTTGCATTAAGAAAGCAGTAAAGGACAGGACAGCTGATGTAGTGGCATTTCCCTTTTGCAATTTGAGACTTTTTTTTTTCTTTTCTAGTTTCCCAATATGCTCCTTTACGTGGTTTTATTGTATTATGTTGTCACATGTCTAGTTGTTGCCTTTTAGCGGCCAGACTCTATACCAAGTTTAGAGCAAGCATGTATTTTGAGCAGGGCTTAGTAAAGTACAGTTAACATAGTATACCATGTGATAAATCTAGAACCCTGATTACTTTTTGTTCCTACTCTGATTCTCCCTACACCCAACCACAATTCTGTGAAGATATTGCATTCTAATTTTTTATCTCTACACATGAGGTGTTCATTTGAAAGAACATTCGATGTTGGTTATTAACATTAAATGATATAATTCAAAAGTCAAAAAGGGAATAAAAAAAGTTATGATTGTCAATTAAGAATGCAGAGGCTGAGAACAATCATATGAAATATGGAATGCATATCTACTACATGATGCATTTTACTGACCTATACCTTTAACTTCAATATTATCAATATCAACTATAAAAGAAACCCTTAAAAGAAATAAGTATACCCTGTCTTTTCCGTTAGGCTGCTAAATCATCAAACAATATACTTGCAAATTTTAAGAACGAAATCTTCCAAAAGTGAAAAATCACACTATATTGAGTCTAAGCAAAAATGTACACTCATGCACCAGACAGAATAATGTAGAGAAGAAGCCACTTTTTATTTTTTAATGGTGAGTGGGGACATGGGTGGTGGAGGAGACTTGCCTTTCCTTCTGCTGCACGAGCTGACAAAGCAATCTTCAGCCCCAGACGCCTTACCTTCTTATTGACTTTGAAAGCATGGCATCGGGGCTTAGGGCCATGCATGGTGGCACCACCCCTGAACTGTTACAATTATTAAATTTATTAATTTAAGCTGCCAAAAAAAGGACAAAAAGAACAGAAAAACTGTGAAGAATGAAGGAATAAAGATGGACTAGCAAGTAATGAGCAGAATGCTTCACTACCTGAGGCCCACGCAATGACCCGTGCCTTGCTCTACCAGTACCCTTTTGTTTCCAGGGCTTTTTCCCAGTCCCACTGACCTCACTGATAGTTTTTGTTGAGTGAGTCCCCTGTTGACCAAATCAATTAGCAAATACATAACATAATCATGGAGAGTTTTCATAGCTAAATTTGGATCCATACTACAAGATAAATTATATATCGATGGAAACATTCCATCCTTAAACAATTGAATAGACATGCCAAAATGTAGTTTTGTCCCAAACCCAAATGTTTGTTCCCCATCCCAATGTCCTATTCAACTCCATTCCCATAATCAATTGTCAATGCAAATCTAAGTGAAAAAAGGGGGAAATTTGATTTAGTATTTCCATCATTTAACAATAGAATACATCCCACAATTGCTAAGCCAATATAGAAAAATAATCACCATTGTTGCCTACGAAAGTTAGCATTTGCTCTGGATTTCACATGTACAATAACAATGAGAAACAAGCTCTTTATTACAAAATATTAAACAGTCACTACCTGTTGTCGTTTTGCAAGCTGCCACCTAACAACACGATGAATAATGTCCTTCCGAATAGGCAAATCAAAAACATCTCCAGGTAAAACCATGAAGCCCTTGTCTTCATTATAAAAGTTGGTAACTGGAATTAAAAGATCCTGGCAAAGCCCTACATCATAATGAACTGGATTAATGACACTCTTCGGATCTTATTGAGACAGCAAGTAGCACATTTCATAATCAAGACTAGACAGACTGTCATGATAGGTGGCAGGTAGTGAAGAAAACAGAGAAACAATCAAAGATGCACTCACAATGTTTATTAATAAAAAAGAGAATCCTAACTACTGCCGTTAGGGTACACATTTATGGAAGTCTTACTTATGCACCTCCACCATGATTTCCAATGCAACCCAACCATGATTTCCAATAATAACAAGTGCGTGCAGATAAGAACAAGAGAAAGCAATTGCTAACTGACATAGGATAAATACATGATTTTAGTGGAGGACACAAATGCTAAACCCTGGCCTCAAATTTTTTTAATTTCAGAGCAGAAGAATAACATCATTAAGCATGCACAAAATATTAAATTCTGACTCAGGGTCAATTTCAGAAGAAATCTATAGAAAAATGTTGAGGAATAGTTACACAATGCATGCATTGTATCTATTATCTAGTTTTAGGTGTAAACATGTTCTTAGATAAAAGCATACAGTAAGTTCTGACATGTAGCACATCAATTCAAATGATCTTTGGAGAAAATTATACATCTTCAACCTATTCATTAGAAGACTGCCAAGAAGTATAATTAAAGAAGACAAGAAAAAAATTGACATGGGAGATATTAGTCTAGATAATACAAAATGGACAGAAAAAACTATCTCATATCCCAGTAATCTAAACCAAATTGGAATTCATGCCTTGCAGTCAATTAATATCTCCTTTCAGATATAAATATAAATAAATAAATAAATAAAAAACAGCAAAACAAAGCAAATGGTATTCAAATGCTTCAAATTATCGTTCATACCTATAGTACGCTCAGATGTTACCAGAGGTTTTCTGGACAATAAATCAGATGGAAATGCACCTTCATCCCCAGGAGCTAAAATAGAAGTTGAAAACTGTCGGATCATTGACTTGACCTACATTTAAATACACTATACCACATTATTAAAGAAAAATCGGCAAATAACCGGCACAAAAGAAAACCGCATTGATTAAACATTCATCATGAAAAAGTTACAAACACAGAAGAAAAATCAAATGCAATGGCAATGTACCAAAGAACGATCTGCAGAAAACAGTCTCTCCCCAGATAAACTGCTGCATATATCTGTGTATAAAAATAATCGTATATTTAATAAACAAAAATGAAAAGAAAAAAAAAATCGAATAGACGGCAAATGGCAACTGTCTACAGTTACACTACACAAAGGTCTTACCACGTGATTTATAAAAAGAGGCAAACCCAGCATTAGGTGAATCAGAGTAACATCGTCCTAGTGAGTGCAAGAAGCCAGAAGAACAACGAAGTAGCCTTTTGGGAATCCGCGCTGCCATAACTGACGATTGCACCTTCTTCCCGTTCGAAATTCAGAGCCGAAAAAACAGCAAGAGTGAAACTTAAATTAGACGAAGTGTTCAAACTAAAGCAGAGAAGGAAGTGAAACTGAGACATTTCATCGAACACATTGCACGTAACTTCAATTTTGCGGAATCAACCGCCACGTAACATATCTCACAGTACTTTCACCACGAACAGGTCCCTCAATAATTTACAAAACCGTTTGAAAAACGAAACAAGTATCAAACACAATCTGATGCTACTTCAACCACTGAGCATGTAAAAAACATGGAGGGAAAAAGAAAAGGAGTTACCAGAGACAGAACGCAGAGCTATCTGATTCGTCGTTGCAACAAATTTTGCTCAGAATAAGAATCTGAAGTTTCTCTTGTTCATGATTTCGTCCCCGTCTATGCCTCCACGGTCCATGGAAGCTGCTTCCGAGCTCGTTTCCGTTTACAAAGGGTAGCTCTCTGGCTAATGGGCCCTTCTGGGCTTAGGTTAAAACGGGCTTCAATTTAGAATTTTTAGCCCAACAACATTTATAGGTTGGGTAAACATTAACAATTATCTGTAGATTTGTGTTTGGGCTTTTGTGTGCTGAACACGATTTTACATTTTATTGATATGATGAGTTTATAAGATATGTTTGTAGGATGAAACGAAATATGTGAGAAATAAATAATAATAAAAATTAAAGTAAAAATAAAAATGTTTGATTTAAAATAAATAAAAAAACTTATAAAAATAATTAAATTTTAATTCATTATTTTTATTTTAATCGATTAAGTATAAAGAGTAATCGATTATAAAAAATCAATAACCCATTCAAACAGAATTTTATTCAGTGTATCTATTTCACTGTTCATTTCACATAAAAAAAATTAACCTTAATTGAATTGATTAAATTGATATTTAATCCATTAGATTTTTAATTATGTAACTACTATTTTCTTTATAATTTTTTTTGGTGGAGCGGAAAAATAAAAAATAAAAAAAATATTAAAAAAACACTTTTTATTTATTTACTACTTTATTTCTTATCAATCAAATATTAACTTTTCTATTCCTTCACCTATTTCTTACCAGTACCAAACTAAGTGTGTATTTGAAATTCAGTTGAATTTTACTAGCGCCAATTTATCTATTTCATTCCTTCTTTGAAAAGTGGAAAGTTTTGTTCACACTAGTTTTTCAAACAAACTTTATTTCTAATGAAACACTTTGATAACATTCAAAATTAAGTTATTTACAATAAACTATTTCTTATTTAATTAAGAAGAATTGGCATATTTATTCACCATTTGCTTAATAAATATCTCCTATAAATATATTTACCTAATAGGCACCCCTAAATCTAAATTAAAGATCTAAATGAAAGAGAGACAAAAAGAAGAATGAAAATAATCAATTTTATTTCAAAACTAGTTTTCGTAGAAGTGCATTTTTCTTATATACTTTTACGCTTTGACTGCAAATTATTACCCGTTATTAATTTCATTTTCACGTTTTTTTTATTCACTCTCTCACTTATTCATTCAAGATAAAATAATATAGATAAAATTTTACATTTTATTTAAAAGTATATAAATAAAAAAAAGAGTAGACAGACAAGCACAATAATTCCCATCTAAATTAATTCGATGTCTAATATGATATTTAAATATCATTAGTCTAAATAATAAATTTATAATAACTATAATTCAGACAATAGCTTTTTTTACATACACATTTTCTTTTCAATTTGACCTTCCTAACTATTTCTTAAATTACTCTAACCCTTCGGTTAATATATAATTTTCACTTTTTATTTTTATTTTTCTTTTATAACACGAAACTCCTCTTCCCTCTACTAGTTATTATAAAAAGATTCCTAATTAGAATTGATTTATGATAATTACAAACAGTATTGCTTGTATGGATTTTATGTTTCACGACTGGTATGCAAATTTGTCAAATATTCAAATTTTAATTTATCTTCAAGTTCAGTGAATAAATTCTAATTATGAGATGCAAATGTACGGTCTTCATTATTAAAGACAAAAGCTGTCGAATATATACCAATGATCCAGCTTATATTAGAAAATTGAAAGATTTTGATATAATTTGTAAACAAATAAATTTTAAAAAATAAATTCAAAATAAAATTTTAATTTTAAAAAAAATTCAAAATAACATAAATTTTAGATTAAAAATTTATATAAGATGAATTAATCAAAAAGACTAATTCAAAAAATAATAATTAAAAGGTCAATTTTCATAATAAATTTTGTTTATATATGACAAAATTAAAAAATGAAAACAAAAAATTATAATAATATTATAAAAATATTAAAATAAAAAAATAAATAATACAACTGAAAAATTAATTTATACTATAAATTCAAAAAATTTATCATTAAAGAAAAACTAAAACATATTAACAAAATATTAATATTAAACTATTTAATTATAATAGATGCTACATTAAAATATAAATTTAAAAATATAAAAATAATATAAAGATATAAAAAAAATTATACAGATAAATTATTAAATATATTAAATTAAAATAAAAATAAAACAAGTAAGTACAATAATAATAAAAATGACTATTCCGATACCCACAATTAGGGTTTAGGGTTTAGGGTTTAGGATTTAGGATTTAGTGGGTACCGTAAAATTTTTAATTGAAATATCAATGCAAGTCTTATGTGTATCCACCTTGAGACCAATTTCTGTTTTTAAATTTTTTGAAAAATGAAACTAAATCAAATATAATTTTAATGTTTGCCAACTATGTAAAAAGAGATTAAAAAAAAAGAAAAATAATAGTGAGTGTGTTTTTTGGTGTAGCACATAGCTACACTTACAGTACAATAAAGAATCACATTTCCTAAAATTTAAGAAACAACTAACATATTTTATCTTATTTTTCAAATAAAAACAATATAAAAATAAGTATCTTTAAAAATTATATCTTATTTTTTCTTATCACAAATACATTGAAAGCAATTTGAATATTTATTACTTTTCTATTGTTAACTAATTTTAGCATTAAAAACAACTTTGACCAAATCTAATACTTGACTCATATTCTTTATCAACTATTCCAACATAAAATTCAAAAAAAACATTTCAAATAATTTATATTATCTATACTCTAAGTGCTAACAAAGAATATAATAGTATTTTACTTAAAATTATTTATTTAATTTAATCAAATTAAACACTCTTTTTAATCATCAAATATTAAAATAATTAATTTACCAAAGGTTGAAACATTTATTATTGTATGATCTCGTAAGTTCAATACTAAGTTAGTAATAAATTAATATATTAATCAAGATAGACATCTAACAATACTCTTTAACGTCTAGGTAGTGTAAAATAATATTTTACTTTCAAGAACTTAGAAAAATATATAATATTTCCTCCATTATTACAACTCATGGTTAACTTTAGAGTATGATATTATTGTTAAACTCTATTAAGTTAACCTATCATGAATGATTTAAAAAACTTATTTCTTTTTTTAATCAATTTTCTTAGCTAGGACATTATTTTATTATAGAACTCAAACTCATTATTAAGAGTTGATAGATTTCTTCTTGATTTATCATTAATTCTACAAGCATATGATTATATCCAATATTTATTTAACTAGCACCCTAAGACATTAGGTGTCTAAAATTAAAATACAATGAATTACTTGTTACTTACTATGATAATCTCATATCAAAGAAAAATATTTAATTTTTTCTTGAAAGATTTTTATTAACAAATTAAGATAATGCAAACCATTAAAAATCCTCAATTAAGTCAATTCAATTGATCATACTCACATATACATCATCAATATAAGTAATTTAATGAATAAAATATAATAATCTTTATCTAATAAAACATTCACATTATATTGATGTATCCAAATTTATTATTGTCTCATATATACAACAATCCTATGATCAAGAACAATTTAAATTAAAATAATAAAAGATTTTTATTTCTCATTATCACAATCTCTATTATGAAAACAAGTTTATAATTTTAATCAAGAACTTTATCAAATTATCTATTTAACAAATATGTATATACAATAACAATAACACTTCATTAAATCGAATGTGATTGCATGATGAATTGGATATTAAGCATATTTAATTATTCTCCCACATTAATCCCAAAGAAAAAAATGGGGGTTTAAAAGTTTGGATGAGCATGTGACATTTTCTTTAGGACCAAAATTGCGATACAATCTGTTACGAGCAATGAAACTGAATTCTTACATGACTGAACATATCCCATATTTCCAGGGATTGTGTAACTTTTAACCAAACTTTATCTTCTTGATTAACTAAACCAAGATGTTATTTTGAACTCTATAACAAGACTAGTTGGTAAACTGGAAAGACGATACTTGTGAAAAAAATGGGCAAATTTAAAATCGATTTGTGCCCAGAAGCACTATGCTAGCTTCATCTTTCAAGGTCCTTCACTGTCTTTCTGAGCTAATTTGCAATAATTTCAACAAAACAACTGCCCTCCGTTGTCATCAGCTAATGATCATCTTATTAAAAAACTCAGCTTGCTCGTGGAAATACTCCATCAATTCATCCTTTGTCACCCAGACAAAATCCTCACATTTTCCAATGTTGAACTTGTTTTTAGCAATTACTTGCGACTTGAAGAAGAATTTCTGACAAAAGATTTCACCAAAGAGAAAGAATGAGCAATTATAATAAATTTTTACAAGACAGAAGCAATGGAAAGGCTAGTTTTGGAATTATGTGGTATAATAAAACAAAGAAAAGGCCTACGAACTTCAATAAAATGCCGATGCATACTGATATAAATAAACATATTGAAATATGTCAACTTTCCATTAGTAGACCAGAAGTACCACAAATTTCCCATAAATATACCTTATAAGATGTGGATCCAGACTGGTCTTCTGTAGGCTGAACAACCATATGGCCCATTGGAGCATTTCCAACAAAATATGTATTAGAAAGATCTCCTATGACTGATTTCAATGCAGACTCCGCACACTACAAAATGTCAAAAGTTAATACGGAAAAGAAGATAAGGAATAAAAGAGGAAAGCCATATAACAATGTTCACCTTGCGCATGGTGTCCTCAGATTCATAAACTTTTTCAGGAAAATGCCACACACGCTTCCCACTTGGAGTCCCATATGCATTACCGTAGACAAGAAGGTAGAGTCTTTTGTCGAGAGCTCTTTGTAATGACCTAAGTAGAAAAGTAGTAACTGGTAAGAGAATATGCAATAAGGCAGCAATTGTGCCTGAAAGAAAATTCAATTCTTTAAAAAAAAAAAATAATAATAACAGGGATGGGCCTAAATAAGTTACTCTGTCTCCTTAAAGCATTCAAATTAGAGTTATAATATTCATCCATCCCATTTTGGGATGGATTGGGATGAGAGAGATGTAGAGAAAAGAAAAAAACTAGAGAAAGTAAAAGAAATAATAAGTGATGTGATAGAAGAGAAAAAAGAAAAATGAGGTGGAAGTGAGTTATAGTATAAGAAAAAGTGGATGTATGATGAGGATTATTATTCAAATTATATTTAGCTTTGACTTTGTTGCCCGAGTCACAATGAGGATTGATCCTTGCCCTAGTGTAAGAGTATATCAGTAAAAACTAACAACAGCTGTATGACATTACCAAGAAGGCTTTCATAAAGACTAACGGTGAGTACAACCTAAATACCCGAATGGGATGCTTGCATCAACATTATATAATCACCAATTAGTCAAAGCTAAATTCATTCAATCACCAATAAAGCAGATAGGAGAATAAAAAATAGAAAATGGAATCTAAATTAATAATCCTTGATAATTACCAAAATAAAATAGACAAGTGTCAACTTTCAAAGAAGTTGAGGACAAGATAAGAATTAAATTAATATATCAATGGAGAATTCACAAGGATTGACATGATGGCCTCTCTATTATAGCATTCATTTTCCTTCATATATTCCAGAGATTGAAATAAAACATTTTCTTACTGTAAATTACACATGTACTCAGTCTACTCAAATTGGTGCATACCTTCGATCATTGTTTTTGTCAGCCTCAGTGACTCGTGGTGCAGGGACATAGTCAATCTGATAATCACCTTTCCCCCTGGAAGTAGCATCTTTTTAATGAGAATATATGAAAAGAAGGACCTATCCGTACTGCCAGCTGTGCTAACTCTTTAATAGATCAATGCATGCATGTGGGAAAAGAGGATGTGAGAAAGATGCAAAAAGAAACAAATTTCTTTTTATCATTGCATCATTATCACTGCCAGTGAGTCGATTCCAGCCAAACAAGTTAAATAATTCACAACGGTATCATTCATTTTATACGCTTTTAGGTAGAGAAAGAAAAGACCAATACACTTAGATTGACATCAATTTGATATAATATAATTTAATAATTTTACACAAAATATAATGAGTAACCCTTATTTATATCAGTGTTAGACCATAATCCTAATTAAATAAGGAAAGAAAACATGAAATAAATAAGAATATGAAAACCAAACCTAAGAGATAATAAGAAAATATGTAAACTACTCCTAACTCCTAAGAGATAAATTAAGAATTTTTTAAATAAGTCTAAAGATATAGTTGGACACTTTTCATATATTTTAATATTCCTCCTTATGCCAACTACACAAGGTTGAGAACACAACTCTCGGATGCTGGAGATGTTGGCAATACGTGCGCCGCTAGAAAGACAACTCAATAAGATGGTTGTAACGGTCATCAACCTGAAGAACTGGTTGGAGTGTTGCATGACCAACGAAGAAGAGATTTAATTGGAACGACAATCGAAGGTAATTTCCTAGCAAGCAAATTATACACAAGAACTAAAACTTCTTCAAATTCACCAAGAACAACAACCGGAAGCTTTATGCCAAAAGAAACTTTTTTTGATACCCAAAAATTGAATTAAGACTAAGGTTGTTGTGCATCATAGTCAAGAAAAATGACAAGTCAGATCGCACAGGATGGACAGAACTATTCTTATACTATGTTGAAATGTACAAGCTACAAAGGAAGGAAAAGGAAATAAAAGAAACTATAAACACTAAGATTGATATTGACTTTATATAATATTAGTGGAGTCAAAGTACTTTGTGCCTCTATAAAATTATCAATATTACTTATCAATGTTTGGAAGTGTTTAAAAATATACTTATTAGATCAATTGGTGTTGTGTTTGATCCTCAAACCTAAAGATTTTGAATTCGAGTCTTATGTTTGTAAAAATAATTAATTTTAATATTATTTTTTATAATTAAAAAATTTAAGGGTAAAATTGTTTAAAAAATGTGTATACCAAATAGAAGAATCCCCTTTATTATATGTTATAGATATTATAGATATAATATGTTACAATACGATAAAAATATAAGCATAAATTGTTTTTATACTAATACTATTTCGCTATCCTAATTAAATAAGGAAACAAATCATGGAATATAAATAAATATGAAAAACAATCCTAAAGAGATAATAAGGGAATATTGAAACTATACCTAAGAGATAATATAAATACTCTAAGATATAATCAGGATATTATTGGATGTTTTTCATTTAATTCAAGTTTTCAACAATTATTTTTTTACTGTCTTGTCTTTTTTATTCCCCTCTTTATTTTAATCATGTACATTAGTTTATGATATTTCACTGGTCTTGAGAAATAATGAAATGAATTTTTATAAACTATAGCAAATCAGAAATACACTCAATGATCATTTTCCGTTTTCTATTGAATATATGGATAAATGCCTCCTCACAACCATTTGACAGAATTCACATAAAATAGAACTTTGACAAAAAAAACAAGGCCTTTTACTATTCAAGTATTTATCTTTTAAACTTTCATGAAACTTGCAAATATATTTTTTGAATATATACCATTAAAGTGCCATCTAATGATCTCTCTCTTTTCAATTAATTAAGTTAAACAACCAAAATAAATAAACTATACACATAGTCTTGTATACTTATACCTTGCATCAGATTTGTCCAGAAATTCATCAGGATATCTGCGTTGATATTGTTGTCGCCATCGAAACCTAACCACCCAAACCCCAGAAAAAGAAAACAGAAAAAAAAAAAAAAAAAAAACAC